TCGAAAAAGGGCGTTTCGGGAGCAAAAATTCAAAACAGCCCCCGAACCTCCGTGTGGCCGACACGGGCAGCTTTCCCATGCCAAATAGGACTTGTGACAACTGACGGAATGTTATTCGGACCTATAGGTTGGGATTTAGAGCCGAATACGCCCAAAACTTAGTCGAAAAATGGCGTTTCGGGGGTGAAAATTCAAAACAGCCCTCGAACCTCCATGTGACCGAAATGAACAGTTTCCCCATGCCAAATATGACTTGTGACAACTGACGGAATGTTATTCGGACCTATAGGTTGGGATTTAGAGCCGAATACGCCCAAAACTTAGTCGAAAAATGGCGTTTCGGGGGTGAAAATTCAAAACAGCCCTCGAACCTCCGTGTGACCAAAACGAACAATTTCCCGATGCCAAATATGACTTGTGACAACTGACGGAATGTTATTCGGACCTGTAAGTTGGGATTTAGAGACGAATACGCCCAAAACTTAGTTGAAAAAGGGCGTTTCGAGGGCGAAAATTCACAACAGCCCCCGAACCTCCGTGTGGCCAACACGGGCAGCTTTCCCATGCCAAGTAAGACTTGTGACAACTGACGGAATGTTATTCGGACCTATAGGTTGGGATTTAGAGCCGAATACGCCCAAACTTAGTCGAAAAAGGGCGTTTCGGGGGCGAAAATTCAAAACAGCCCTCGAACCTCCATGTGGCAAAAACAAACAATTTCCCCATGCCAAATATGACTTGTGACAACTGACGGAATGTTATTCGGACTTATAGGTTGGGATTTAGAAACGAATATGCCCAAAACTTAGTCGAAAAATGGCGTTTCGGGGGTGAAAATTCAAAACAGCCCCCGAACCTCTGTGTGGCTGACACAGGAAGCTTTCCCCATGCCAAATATGACTTGTGACAACTGACAAAATGTTATTCGGACCTATAGGTTGGGATTTAGAAACGAATACGCCAAAAACTTAGTCGAAAAAGGGCGTTTCGGGAGCAAAAATTCAAAACAGCCCCCGAACCTCCGTTTGGCCGACACGGGCAGCTTCCCTATGCCAAATAAGACTTGTGACAACTGACGGAATGTTATTCAGACCCGTAGGTTGGGATTTAGAGATGAATACGCCCAAAACTTAGTTGAAAAATGGCGTTTTGGGGGCAAAAATTCAAAACAGCCCCCGAACCTCTGTTTGGCCGACACGGGCAGCTTCCCCATGCCAAATAGGACTTGTGACAACTGACGGAATGTTATTCGAACCCGTAGGTTGGGATTTAGAGACGAATACACCCAAAACTTAGTCGAAAAAGGGCATTTCGGGTGCGAAAATTCAAAACAGCCCCTGAACCTCTGTTTGGCCGACAAAGGCAGCTTCTCCATGCCAAATAGGACTTGTGACAACTGACCAAATGTTATTCAGACCCGTAGGTTGGGATTTAAAGACGAATACGCTCAAAACTTAGTCGAAAAAGAGCATTTCGGGGGCGAAAATTCAAAATAGCCCCCGAACCTCCGTGTGGTCGACACGGGCAGCTTCCTCATGCCAAATAGGACTTGTGACAACTGACGGAATGTTATTCAGACCCCTAGGTTGGGATTTAGAGACGAATACGCTCAAAACTTAGTCGAAAAAGAGCATTTCGGCGGCGAAAATTCAAAACAGCCCCCGAACCTCCGTGTGGTCGACACGGGCCCCATGCCAAATAGGACTTGTGACAACTAACGGAATGTTATTCGGGCCCGTACGTTGGGATTTAGAGACGAATACGCCTAAAACTTAGTCGAAAAAGGGCATTTCGGGGGCGAAACTTGAAAACAGCCCTCGAACCTCCATCTAACTCTCACGTGCAGCTTTCCCATTACAAATAGGATTTGTGACAACTGACAAAATGTTTTAAACTTGCTAATTTTGTGAACGCACAAACGTGTGTTATTATTTTTATCACATGTTCTAATATCCTCTCTGAAATGGCACTGACATACATTAATAAGTACCGATGGTTTTATATCCAATCTAATGATTCAAGTGCCTTTTGCAAACAAATAATGAGGAAATTGGTAAAAAGAATACTTTCTATTCACATCGGGCTTTGATATTGGTTTAGCCACAGAATTTGGATACATGTTGCATACAAATAGAAGATTGTTACATTAGCTGTATGTTACTAATGAAAAATTTAGTAATGATTGTTCTGCATTTAACAATGTTCCTTATAACAAAAGACTTTAGAAAGACTGTACAATGACTAATAATTGATTCATCATGGAAGGTTGCTTTTCACTTATTTTTATTTGTCACTTGTTTCCAATTTCATTCATGAAGTTGGGCATTTTTGGGTCCAATTCTAATGTTTTTTATTTTTATTTTTTGTAAATAACTTCGTTGCGTGGCTTGCAGAGATATCTTGGTGTATGGAGAAGAAATTGTACTTTTGTATAGAAGTAATATAATACTTTTGTCGTCTCCAGCTTTTGTGCAGTTAACTATTCCTGATACAGAAAACTATTGGCAGCGAACAGATAATTATTGGCATGGTAGATAGATCACCTTTTGATGTCGTCCACTAAATTGATTTTTTGTCGTGGTACATAGATGTATTTTTGGCTTGGTACATACATCACCTTTTGTCGTGGTACAGATTACGATGTTAATTTGTACCATGCCAAATGGTCATTTTACATGGTATAGTAAATGTAATTTTTGTATATGGAGGGCTGTATTTTTTGTATGATTGTATATGTTGTATGGAATTATTATTTTAGTTTGGACAATAGTTCGTTTGTATGTACTTGGACAGTTAAAAGTAATTTATTTTTTGTATACAGATGCAGATTGTGGAATGATTGATAATTTATGTATCATTTTATTTATATACATATTACAGGTTGAATGGAATACAGACAGGTTATGGACACATTATAATATTAGCAATAAAACATAATATCATGTTTTTACCGACCAAACGTTTTGTAGCCAAAAAAAAGGAAAAAAAAAAAAAAAAACAAACATTTGGCTACTAAAAGTTTTGTAGCCAAAAGAAAATCAAACATTTGGCTACTAATTTTTTTGTAGGCAAAAGAAAAACAACCATTTGGCTATTAAATGTTTTGTAGCCAAAAGAAAATCAAACCTTTGGCTACTAAAAGTTTTGTAGCGAAAAGAAAATCAAACATTTAGCGACTAAAATATTTTGTAGCTAAAAACAAAAGTTGAAGAATAACTATGACATTTGGCGACTAAAAATTTAGTAGCCAAAAATGTCGTAGTTTAGGCGACTAAATTTTCAGTAGCAATAAATGTTGAAGTTTAGGTGACTAAATTTTTAGTAGCCAAAAGAAATAGTATTTGGCGACTAAAATTTTAGTAGCCAAAAAAGATTGACTTTAGGCGACTAAAATTTTAGTAGCCAAAACACTAGTATTTGCCTTTGGTGACTAAAAAATTTAGTAGCTATAAATTCTTCAGCCACTAAATAATTGGCTTTTGGCGACAAAAAAATTGGTCGGCAAAAATGTATTTATTTAATTAATTTTCAAACCTATTGGTGACTAAATATTTAGTCGCCAAATGAATACATTTGGCGACTAAATTAGGTTTAGTCGGCAATTATATTTCCCGACTACTCTTTGGCTACTAATTTTCTGACCAAAAAATTTAGTCGCTAAAGACTATAGGCGACTAAAATATGACTTTTGGCGACTAAAAATTTAGTCGCAACAAGTGAAAATTCTTGTAGTGTAAGAGAACTCAATGTAATTATATCAAAATTGAAAATTTTATTGTACGTTTTTTCAAACTTCACAAGAGACCAATGTAATTTACCCAAAAATTTAAGTCTTTCAAAGAAAACCTTTTTAACACACAATATATATATATATATATATATTTTCTTTTTTTTCAATCATTGTTTAAAGGCTTAATTACACTTTTCACTAATCAAATTTTATTTTAATTCCTATAATTTTAATTTAAACAATTTGGTTTGTGTACTTTAAGTCTAGTTTTAATTTGGTCATTTTGTTTAAATTTTTGTTAATTTTCAGGATAAATTACATCAGTAGTCCCTACATTTTGCCTCTTATGTTATTTTGGTCCCTCCACTTTTTGCACAATTTTTTACTCTTAATTTTAAATTTTGTGTCAATTTAGTCCAATTAATAATATTGTTAGTGTTTTTGACAGAAAATAATTGCTAAATTAGTTAAGATTAACTTACTAAGTAGACCAAGTTTTACTTTTAAGAACATGACATATATCACTTATGTATGCATTTTCTATTAAAAAATGCTAACAATTGTAATCAATTGAACTAAATTAAAACAAAATTATAAATTTAGGGTCAAAATCGACCCAATTGAAATTACAGTGACCAAAATGACACAAGAGCGAAAATAGAGGGACTATTGAAGTAATTCGCCCTAATTTTTGTGTATACCTTAGAAAATTGACAAGTGTCATCAAATTGTTAATTTTAATCTGCAGTTTGGTTGGCGATTAAGTGGCTTCACCTATAAGTTGTACAAACAATACAAGTAAATTAAGAATGCAAGAAGGGAGGAGTACACGAGAAGCCACTCACCTGTAAGTGGTACTCTTAATCAGTGGACATCTCTAATTGACAAGAAGTGGAATAGTAAAGAATTCATGGCAAAATGTTTTATGTTAATTGTCAAAAATTAAGTTTCTTCTTATTAATATTAAGTTTTCTTGTTTTTTATTGGTGTTTCAATCGTGTAAGAACAATCACTACCTAATGTGAATAATATGATGCAAATAGAAACAAAAACATAGATATGGATCAAA